TTGAACCACCATCCTTCTGGTTAGCAGTCAAGTGTCTTAGGCACTATGCTACCAGAGCTCCTAACAGAAACTTAGTATCTTGTAAATATCTTTCCCATCGCCCCTTCCCCCTGTCCTTTGTAACCACTAATAAACTTGTCTCTGTGAATTTACCTGTTTTATAGATTTCATTTAAGTGGGATTATACAACGTTTGTCCTTTTGTATTTGAGTTGTTTGGTATAATGTTTTCAAGATTCATCCATGTCATACCATATTCAGAACATCCTTTCTCTTTATGATTGAATAATATTCCATTGTATGTATATATCATATTAATCTACTCATTTTTCAACACTTAGGTTGTTTTTATTTTTGGATTACTGTGAGTAATGCTGCATTGTTTTATAGCATTTTATATTATTGTATGATATTCTAGTCTTATGGATCTATTACAGTTTATTTAGTAGTAGGAATGATATCCTGTTATTGAAAATTTTAAGTTATTTTTAATTTTCAGTGTTTATGAAAAACAATAGCAAACATTATTGTAAATGAATCTTCGTTTATATCCATGACTGTTTCCTTGAGATCTCAAGGGTATTCTAGAAGGAAAATTTACTGGGTCGAAGGGATGCAAAATGTATTTGGATGAAAATGAGGTCTTGAACTTTGCTGCTTTCTTTGAGGACTACTGGAGAGCCTATCCCTCTAGATATTCCCATTATACCTCTTCAGCACGTCTGCCTTGGTGGTCATGTTACTTGAGACAGGGAGTCAGACTTCAACTCAATCACCATTTTCCTGGAATGTCCTGGAACACAGGATCTTTTAAATTTTTTTAAGTTGTGGAATCATTATATGAAAGGAAAATCAAGGCCTTTTAAATCAATTGGTAAGGTTTAAAGATTTATAGCTGACAGTCAAAATAAATGAAATACTGCTTCATTTTTCACATTGCCAGATTGAATTGTTTGCAGTTACCTGGTCATTTATCTGTTCTTCTACTTCTGTAGTATTTAAAGAAAGTATCTGTTGTTGTTGTTATGTGCCGTTGAGTTGGACCCGACTCATAGTGACCCCTCCTTAGGTTTCTGAGGCGGTATCACTACGGAAGTAGATTGCCCAACCTTCCTTCTGAGGAGTGGGTGGTGGGTTTATAATGGGTGGCTAATTGCTGCCATGAACAACTACTTCCTTTGCCATTAGACCAGAAATGAATGGTGCCGGCTATCATTATTGAACATTTTCATCAAAGATGCCATAGAAAAATCCTGATCAAAAGGGAAAAAATACAGAACAGAACTTCACATTTTCATGGATTCCAGACTTCCTGGAGCCATGAAGGTAGGATGAGCCCCTGAAACTATTGCCCTGAGATAATCTTTAAATGTTAAGCCAAAAATACCCCAAGAAGGCTTCTTAAAACCAAACGATAGTTTAACTTGTAACTAGTAAAGAATATCTGCTTTTACATTGTGCTCTTTTAAGATCTATCTATGTGGATTTATGTGGATTAAACTGATGACAGCAACTCCATAGATTAATAGAAACTTTAGGGGCCAGTTGAGTTTATGTTAATGGAGTAAGCACAACTCAGAAAAGGAGGTTAGAATGGCTACACAATTTGAAGAATATAATCAGCGACATTAAATGATACATGTAGAAACTGTTCAACTGATGTATGTTTTGCTCTATTCATTTTCAGCAATAATAAAATAAATTATATAAAAATTAAAAATAAAGGGCACATATATTCTGTGACTTCAAAATTTTTTATATTTGGATGAAAATGAGGTCTTTTAAATGATTAATGAGTAAATGATTAATGCTAAAACTGTTTGAGTAAGATGTCAATAGCGTATTTATTGTCCTGCCCATGTTGTGTGGCAGATAAAGACACAATACTGAAAAAATAATAATGTAGCATTCTGTTGCACTGCAGTGCCATAATTCTTGGGTTGCAGTTATTAAATTTTTTTTTGTCTCTTTTCTATGTAGGTGATTCTACTTGTGGGCAGAGGGCTATCTATCACAATTTGGGAATGACTGGAATTCCTATAGTCAACGTTAACAATAACTGTTCTACTGGTTCTACTGCTTTGTTTGTGGCCCGGCAGCTGATTCAGGGAGGTAAGGAATGCTTATTTGTCTACTGTGTTTAAATAAATGTAAGGTCATTGTCCCCCTTTAATTATTTCTCCACATAGCCATCAGAGGGATATCTTTATAATGTATTTCCTTGTTTTAGTTAACCAGTGCTGCCTTCACAGAACAACCAGAGTGAGTAGCTCTAAAGAACAGAAATTTATTTTCTTACAGTTTTGGTAGCTAAAAATCCAAGTTAGTGTCTGAGCCATGTCCATTCCTTCTATCAGCCTCTTCTCATTTCTGGTGTCTGCTGTGATCCTTGGCATTCCTTTGCTTATAAACAAGTCTTACATGTTGTTTGTCTTCACCCTGTGTGTGTGTTTCTGTGTCTTTTCCAGTCATTTTATAACTCAGAAGTGATTAGGTTTAGGATCTAACCTAAACTTGTATGCTCTCATTAACGTAACAAAAGAAAACCCTATTTCCAAATAGGATCATATTCATAAATACAAAGTCCAGGGATTCAACACATATTTTTTGGGGCCACAATTAAATCCGTAACATCTTTTTAAGAAAGATGAGATATAATTCACATACCATAGGATTCGCCCCTTTAAAGTGTATAATTCAGTGGTTTTTAATATATTCACAGAGTTGTGTAACCATTACCATTATCTAATTTTAGAAAATTTCATCACTCCAGAGAAAACTCTATACCTATTAACAGTCACTCCCCACTGCCCTTTCCTTCCAGCCCTTGGTAAATACTGATATTCTTTCTGTCTGTATGGATTTACCTATTCTGAACCATATAGGCGGTTGTTGTTGTTGTTGTTGTTATGTGCCGTCAAGTTAGACCTGACTCATAGCGACTCCTCCTTGGGTTTCTGAGGTGGTATCACTAGGGAAGTAGATTGCCCACCCTTCCTTCCGAGGAGTGGCTGGTGGGTTTGAACCGCCAACCTTCTGGTTAGCAGTCAAGTGCCTTAGGTACTATGCTACCAGAACCATATAGGTGGAATCTCACAATTTTGTGTCTAGCTTCTTTTACTTAGCATGGTATTTTCAAGGTTCATCTATATTGTAGCATGTGTCAGTACCTTATTTCTTGTTATACCCAAATAATATTTCATTGTATGGATATGCTACATTTTGTTTATCTGTTTATTAATTGAAGAGCTTTGGTATCACACTGGTTAAAGCATTCGGCTATTAATCGAAAGGTTCATGGTTTGAACCCATCAGGTAGGTACTCCTGGGGAAATAGATGTAGCAGTCTGCTTCTGTAAAGATCTACAGCCTTGGAAACCCTATTGGGCAGTTCTATTCTGTCCTATAGGGTCACTTTGAGTTGGAATTAACTTGATGATAAGGGGTAAGTATTTATCAGCTGATGAATATGTGGCTTGGTTCCACTGTTTGGCTATTATGAATTATGCTGCTATGAACATTCATGTACAATTTTGTTTGTAGTTCTTTTGAGTATATATCATATTCTCTATTTTCAAATACTGTAGGATTTTTTTTTTTAGGTCCTCTATTCTGTTTCACTGATTTTGATTTATATCTTTCAATGTGTATGTATATGTGTGTGTGTGTATATATATATATATATATATATATATATATATACATAAACAATTTTCTCTTAAAATAGGTCCTAGTATATATCCTTTTTGTAACCTGTTTTTCTTACTTTATTATTGAATGTTCCCTATGTCATTAAGTCTTCTTTTATACCATTAGTAACATTTTTCAATTAAGCTTATCTTTGGAATAGGTTCAAAAGATGGATGGTTGTTGATTACTGTTCCGCTAGCCAGTATTTTAATTATTGGAGCTTAATAATGCCTTACTATTTAATAATGCTAATGTTCAATCATCCTATTAGGAAAATTTTGCCAATCCAGTTATATTTTTCTCTCATTTGAATTTGAATTACCTTATAGGTTCCTCCCTCTTTCCAAAAACATTCTGTTGAAATTTTGATCAACATCCTTTTTTGTTTTATCTTAATTAATGTTTTAAAATTCAGAATTAGCTATTTATGTTTATTTTTCACTGAAACATTATTTCAACATTAATATAATTTTTAACATACTGAGAATCAGAAGAATTAAACACCTTTATTTTTCTTCTTCTATAGAGGTATATAAGTTTTTTCTCTACAAGTTTTTACTTATTAAAAATTTTATTGCATTCTGTGTTTTTGAATTTCATATAAATTGTCCTGCTTATTTAAATTGAAGTATTTAGTAGTATTTTATTTGGAGTATCTAGAAATTTGATTTTTCAAAATATTTAAACTTCCTTTTAAGGTTTGGCAAATTGTATTTTGGCTCTTGGGTTTGAGAAGATGACCAAAGGATCCATTGAAATGAAAGTAAGTGTCCTTGTGTTTATTCTCGTCTTTTTATAATTAAGAGGCGATTAGATAAGGACAAGGACTGTTGCCTTTCCTGGAGTAAATGGCAAAATAGGTATTTTATCCCTTGGTATTTAGAATGATAGCTGCCAAGCTTTTATGAGTATTTCTGTGCATGTGCACAAATGTTTGAAAAGGTATACAAATTTTTATAGCTGCACCTTACACTTTCATGACCTATGCTTATGTCACCTGCTTGTCTTAAAAATACTATTTTCCTTGTAAAAGTCACAAAAAATTGAAGACTACAGAAAGAATAAAGAAAAGTATAATCACCTGTAATGACAATTACCATTAATGATTTACTAATTTAACAAAAAAATAGTTGAGGTTATGCTTTATGCATAATTTTATATCTTTTATTTTGCATTTAACGTATTATTTCATGTTAAAATGTACTTATGAGCAAATTTTTAATGACTGCATTACAGTTTCTCACATGACTGTATTGTAGTTAATGCTGCTCCTATATTAGGTGTTTAGGTTATTTCTTTTTTCTTATTATAAATAATACTATGATGAACATAATTTCTATAATATTTTCCTGTAATTTTTATTATTTTCTTAGGATAGACTCCAAAGTCATGTTATTTAGTAAAGGATATGTTTTCTTTTAAAGAATGATGATTTTTCATCAAAGATAAAATAAGGTATACATGCAATGGCATACTATGCAACCCTAAAGAATAACGTAGAATCTGCAAAACACCACATAACATAGATGAACTTGGAGGACATTATGCTGAGTGAAACCAGTCAGTCAAAGAAGGACAAATATTGTATTAGTCTGTTATTGTGAAAGTCAAGGAACAGTTTATATATGGAAGGAAGTTTTCTTTGTTGGTTACCAAGGGTGGGAGGGTAGTGTAGTGAACACTGTTAGATAGGTAGAGACAAGTATTGATTTGGGTGAAGAGAAGGGCAGTGTATCAAATGTGAGTGATCAACATGGTGGCATTGAGGAAGAGGCAGACATAGAGAGGTACATGGGAGGTACAGACAACAACGATGAACCCTTTTGCACATACAGAACTGCGTTGTCAGTGAAGGCAAACATGGGTATACGGGTGGATAGATGAGTGGACAGGCTAAACTATTAGGTATGTCTATGAAGTGGGGAGTGTACCCAAAACCATGTATAGAGTAGATCTGTAAGAATTCCCAGGTGTGTAGTAGAGCTGACAAGGAGCAAGGTTGTGGCCACTTCTTGGTCACAGTCAGCAACCCAGAGGAACTGAGTAGTTGAACTGGTGGGCTTGAGACCATAGTCATAGGGGACATTAAGCTCAATTGGCATAACATACTACACAAAACAGTGTTCCACTTCCTACTTTGGCAAGTAGAGACTGGGATCTTAAAAGCTTGCAAGTAGCCATCTAGATGCAATTATGGGTCTCTTCTTGTCCAGAGCAAAGAAGAATGAAGAAAACCAAAAATTCATGGAAAGAATTAGTCCTAGTGACTGGTACACCATCCTATACGACTACGAGACCAGAAAAACTAGATGGTGCCCAGCTACCCCTGTCAACCACTCAGAGGGGCATCTTTGTAGAAGATCCTGGGTAGAGAGGGAGAACAATGTGGAATGAAACTCAAAATCATCTGGGGGGGAAAAAAAAAGGGGACCAGGTTTGCTGGTCTGATAGAGCCTGGTGGAACCACTGAGACTATGGCCCCTAGCTGCCCTTCATGTCTGGAATTGAATCCACACCTGTGGCTTCCAGCCAAACAAAAGACAGGCATATGAGTTGAACATTTACCTGAGGTAGATACACTCCTTGGAGAGAACAATCAT